ACCGGTCAACGTACCCAGCCACCACCGGTCAACGTACCCAGCCACCACCGGTCAACGTACCCAGCCACCACCGGTCAACGTACCCAGCCACCACCGGTCAACGTACCCAGCCACCACCGGTCAACGTACCCAGCCACCACCGGTCAACATACCCAGCCACCACCGGTCAACGTACCCAACCACCACCGGTCAACGTACCCAGCCACCACCGGTCAACGTACCCAGCCACCACCGGTCAACGTACCCAGCCACCACCGGTCAACGTACCCAGCCACCACCGGTCAACGCGCCCAGCCACCACCGGTCAACGCGCCCAGCCACCACCGGTCAACGCACCCAGCCACCACCGGTCAACGTACCCAGCCACCACCGGTCAACGTACCCAGCCACCACCGGTCAACGTACCCAGCCACCACCGGTCAACGTACCCAGCCACCACCGGTCAACGTACCCAGCCACCACCGGTCAACGCACCCAGCCACCACCGGTCAACGCACCCAGCCACCACCGGTCAACGTACCCAGCCACCATACACAGAGGCGGCGGCTTGACATTTTGCTCGACCTTATTACTTATCCAGGGGAATGCTCCCCCTTGACAATTTTGAAAACTATACCCTCTGAAACGCTATTTCCTGCAATTTGAGGGGCAAATTTTGCTGACATAAAGAGTTTCAGCTTGATTTTGGAGGAGCGACTCCCCCAATTTTTTTTTCGAGGCCCCCCCCCCTCTGTGCCGCCGCTACTGATACACTGATAAGTTATAATTTACATACAATATCAGGATTTCAAGTGCATGATGCCCGCCTCTACTCTGTCATTTGGTTTATAACAAATACAAAAATGAATTTATCGTGTGCGCGATTATTTGGAATGCTTGTAAATCTGCCGCTGGAAATACGGCTACGGTAAGACACACGGTGAACATAAATTGTGTTGTTTAGAATTGCCCGAAAAAAACTAGAATAAATTGCGAGTCCAACTTTCTGGACCGGAGTTTCCGAATATTTGCACAGGTTACGTTAATTAATTGCATCCAAACCTGTATCGTCCACAGTGAAGGGACGGACGTGTAACTATGATCGTTTCCGATGATGTTAATCTAGGCCGCTCGAGTGTTCAACATAACGCACTAACGCGCCACAAAGCGTGTTCTTTTCTGAAACAGAATTTGAAAGCGTACGATGCAGTTTCTTACCTTACACCTTGATTGTTTATTCGCGCCAACTCAGCCACCGTCGACATGTTGTGTCAAATATATCTAGCTACGTGCTTTCTTGACAAACTTTTAATACGTTTTGAAACCAATCGATAACAAGTGTCATTACGCGGCGCGCGTCACA